CAATAAAGGTCGTCTATCTATGACCTCAACGTGAACAAGTTTGGATATTTGTACTAAAAAGATCTTATGATGCTTTGCAAATTCTTCGTCTAAAAAACAAGCAGATGCTCCTGAATCTAATAATGCTAAGGTTTTCAGTTTCTGAGGGCCAATAAGCAAAGGGATTGTAAAACAAAGGGCAGGTTGAGCAGAAAGAAAGGAACCTGATTGTTGTTGCGATATTTCACTGTCCAGCCGCACGGTTCCTATTGTGGGTGGGCATCCTCGTTTTCCTGAATAAACATGACCTTAGTCTCGATAATACGTCGATTTTGCTTCTTGGAACAGTTTCCAACTTTGTGGCCTTCTTCACCGCTATATAAGCATAGACCTTCCTCCATACGCCGCTTTTTTTCTTCTAGAGTAAGAGATTTGACACGTATCGCATCAATTTGCATGTCTTCTACCTCTGAATGTGAATTCACGCTGCTTGCCGACATAGTTGGGATATGGCGAACCGTATGTTGTCTTAAACGTTGGTCTTGGTGACGTTGGAATAGGCGGTTATCGCACTTCACAGCTTGGCTAATAGCTTCGTTGAGCATTTGCGGATCAAGAAGAGTTAACAATAAATCCTTCATATCGCCCCTTAAATCCCAATAGAATTGACTCATCAATGCTTCTTCGTCCCAATTGATGTCGCATGCTAATTGCCTGAAGTCCGATGCATAGACTGATGTAGAACGCATTTCTTGTCGTAGTGACCGGATCTTTATTGTAGCCCATCGAACCTTGTCGTGTTCACCAAATGCTTCCGCAAACGTCTCCAAAAAGGTTTCAAATTTGTTTAGTATAGACTATCGTTTCTCAAACAAAGAAGCAAACCATGATAGAGCTTGTCCTGTAAGTAAGGTTCCAACAAGCCCAACACGTGACTCCTCAGTTGGATAGCGTTCGGGCTGTAAAACTGTTATCAACCTGATTTGGTTGACAAATCCTCGAAACTTGGAACGCGTACCATCGAACTTGTCTGGAAGGCTAACTCGGGGCTCCTTATGTTGTAGAACCAGTGGTGCTTGTCGAACTTGAGGCAAAGTTGCTTCTCCAAGTGCAGAAATTTGAGGCTGGTGCAACCTAGATTGTGCCATCCCAGATGCTCCATCATTATGAAGCCTTGCCACGACTCCTTCAATCTCTGCAGTTCTTTGTAATAATGTAGCGAGGGCATTCATGATAGCATCTAACTTGGACTCTGAACTTTCCATCATACTAATGTTTTGGCCCTCTGCCATTCTAAGAGAAGGACAGAAATGACTCTACAAGAAGACAATATTGATTTAGAGGAGGGTACTCCGCAACCTCTAAAATGCCTTAAGAACTTCAAAAAAAGGGGCAATCCACTCTCTCCAAGAAGAATAAGACTCCAATATTGTAACAAAAGAAGTATCAGTTTAGAGGAGGGTAATCCGCAACCTCTAAAATGCTAGTACACTTCCAAGCAGAGGGGTAATCCACACTCTAACAAAGAAGAAACTAGCTCTGATATCTGAGGTGAGTGAAGTCTCGACAAACTGTCATGGACACAGAAATACAGACTTGAGATCTAACAAGAAATTCAAGAAGAACTGGCAAGAACTAGATTAATCAAACGAATACAAGAACAACGCTAGAGAGGTGAGCTAGATCTCCAAGAGATGTGTTGTCGATACTGAAGAACTCTTCAGCCTCGATTCCAATATATACTTTTATTTAGGAAGCTTCTCAAGTAACTTCTACCAACTATGAAGCTTCTAGAAGGTTCCAGAGACTTGTTTCTAGAAGGTTCTAAGCACTATGTCCCTAACATCTTCTACCAACTAAGAAGCTTCTAGAAGGTTCCAGAGACTTGTTTCTAGAAGGTTCTAGAAACTTGTCTCTAGAAGGTTCTAAGGACTATATCCCTAACAGTTTGTGGAAGCTACTTGAGAAGCTTCCTAGTTGGTAGTATATATAGGAGTTGAGATTGAGGGGATCCTCAGTCTCGACAATACACCTCTTGAAGCTCTAGCTCACTTCTCTAGTGTTGTTCTTGTATTCATCTGATTAATCTAGTTCTTGCCAATTCTTCTTAAGTTTCTTGTTTTTAGTCAGTATTCTATATTCGTGACACTATTGAATATATATATTTTTTGTATTCTAATATTTTCAATGGTTTAATGTCTAAGCTCTTACAAATGAGAATGATAAAGATGTTTTGAGATCAATGTCTAATCTTTTTGTATGAAAATCACCTTCTAACCATGTGTTAATTTTAAGAGTGTAATGTCAACAACAAAAAGTATAATAACAAGCAATAATGATAAAAAACAATCTCTTACTTGGATTTTTCAATTGTGCATGGTCTTATAGGCATAGTATTGGTTGGAGTGGTACAAGACCAATTCATGGCATTCCTTCAATATTTAGTCCGTATTTGGCCTCTTTAGGAATTATTTCTCACTTTTAAAAATATATCTACTTCTCAAGAATCTATAGACTGGTTTATAGGCATCAATGTTGTCATGGATGCCTCAAAAGATAGTTGTTATGTCTAGCATTTTGGTCATGCTATTTGAGTAGAACATGTACTTAGGAAGATAAACATTATCATAGTGGCATGTACTTGCCACTATAGTGCAAGGTTTTTCAAATGTTGTAGTAGTAAATTTTAGAGGCATTTATAAGAAATATAGTGCCAATAATGTAGGTGTGTGGAAGATGATAAGGATAGAGATTTTTGAGGAGATTGTAGTATGATCTTTGCATTCTTTGTAGTTGAATCAAATTAAAGTCTAGACAAGGCCAAAACAATCTCATTTTGTTATTAATCATCACATGAACATCTTTTTCATTGCAAAATTTGCTATATAAAACACAAATCTATGCATCCATCTATGTACAACTAATGGTAGAAAAACTCAATTGGAGGGAAATAGAACTCCTAAAGAAACCAACAATGGTTTTTGTAATCTACAACCAAACAACCAAATTCAGTTTGAATAACATTGTTTAGTTCAATAATTAATTTTTATTAACAATGAATAATTAAATAGCTTAAAATATTTTCAAGATTCAATTTTTGGTGAAAGTGGCATGGATTCAATTAGTTTCTCTATAATTGCTTCCAATGTGGTAAAATTCAATTTTACCAAAGTCTTGAATTTTTTTCTAAAAAATCCTATAACATTCTAAATAAATTCTTAATAAAATTTTAAAATTCTTATTATGTTTCTATAATGCTAATATTCATTTAAGGATATATTTTTATTATATAGTGATTCTTTAAAAAATAAAATAAATTTATATCAATTAAAAATCATGTTTTCTATTAAATAACTAAAAAGAAATGAGTTTCATTTGTATGCTCTATTTAACTACTAACTAGTATTGATAGGTTTTTTTTATAAGTAATATATGTTGATAGAAGGAAAATATAGATATTGGTATTAATAACTAAATATTAATATTGAACAATAAAAAAATTTATTAAACCAAGTAAGATAATTGCCTTCAAGATCTACAAAGATTCTATTTTTGTAATTTTTTTTTAATAAGATTTTTGTTACTTATAAATACCTCTAAATTTTAATAAGTACATAAATAATAAAAATATTCTCCAATCTTAATATTTTTATAACTAAAATATTTAAAATTATAATTTTAATCAATCCAGCAATGAAGATTCATTGGAGGTACTCACAACCAGGTTTGTGAATTTAAATGGCCTTGTTTTGATTGTTTTCATAGGCCTTTTATCTTGAGTTGTCTTTTAATTTTAATCGTGTTTAAGATTAATATTGATTTGGAGATAAGACATTTAGATTAGATACCAATATGAAAGTAATATTTGAATAGAAGTTTGATTTAGATTAAGTTCTTCTAAGCAAATTTTTATGTAAAAAAGTTTTGTTGAGAAAAAAATAATTTAATGCACAAAAAACTCACATCATATATGAAAAAGTTAGCTTTGGTTATTAGAATTAAAATGAATAATAATAATAATAATAAGAAGAAGAAGAAGCAAAAAAAAGACAATGAAAAGCATCGAAAGTGTTTATTTTTTTTATAACATTTTGAAATGTTGATAAATTGTGTAAGAAAAGTGACTTTGATTTTTTGTTTTTTGATATGAATATTTTCTAACATTAAAAACAAAGTATTGTAGTTGAGTTGAAAAATTGCATTGAAATATTATTTAATAAAGAAGATTTTCAAAGAATATTTTTATTTTTATTTTTTTAGATGTTCTTTTGAATGAAATGAATTGAATTATAAGCTAATCAACGATTAGAATGATTTGATTCTTTTCAAAGGATGAATATAAAAATAAAATTCTTAACAAAATTTACTTAATTATTTAGGATACAATTTAAAAAGTTTTGATGCCAGTGAAGAAAATCATATTAATACAGTTAGATTATCTTGTACATATTACTTGTTTGAGTAAAGTTTGTTACTAATTTTCACATCTCTTCCTCTTAATACTTTGTCATTATAATAGTCACATTGTCTTCTTGTACTAAAATTTCTTACCTTTTTAATTATATACATACATACATTTTTATAAACATTAAATTATACTTTAAAATTTTTAAATCTAAATCTATCTTGTTGATTATGGATACATTACAGTTTAATAGTTTAAAATGACGTCGTAATATTATTTTGGTAGTGTAGACTCAATTGTCTTTCATGTCGCATTTCTAACAAGCATGTTATAAAAGAAGTGAAAATATATGTGTATATGTATATATGTATATATATATAATATTTTTGGGGTTTGAAACCGACGGTAGATTCTGCAGTCACATATTTCACGTGCATATATTTCATATTTCATATTACTATAACATGCATGAGAAACGAAGGAGTGGAACATTGATCCATGCAATCGAAGACGAAGGATTGCATGTTTTCACAAGCCTCGTTTGTCCAAGGGAGGGAGGAAGGGCATGGTGGCGAACCTGCTGGCTCGGCGAGAGGATCCTAGGTTAGGAAGTCTAGGTTAGTGGAAGGGGATGGGGAAGTGGCTTGGAATTAAGCCCTGGGTGTTGTCCGTCAAGGTTTCTCTTTTGCTCTCGTGTCCCACGCAGAGTCGCAGCGAGTCTCACCCGGGCCTTGTTCCTCGTTCCTCCTCGTATCCCTGCTGTTGCGAGTGTTGCGAGGTCAGGCAGCTCACCATGGTGCGCATCAGCGTCCTCAATGATGCTCTCAAAAATATGTTCAACGCGGAGAAGCGCGGCAAACGGCAGGTCCTCATCCGGCCCTCCTCCAAGGTTGTGATCAAGTTTCTTTCCGTCATGCAGAAGCACGGTGAGGTGCTCTTCACCATGTCCTGTAACTTCTGCCTAGCTTTTCTAGAGGGAATAGTGTTTTGGTTGCGAGTTCGCGTGAATTTTTTTTGCAAGTAATTGCTCTCAGCCGAGCATCTTGCTTTTTTTCAGAGTTGGTGTGTTTGGACTAGAAATCTACTCGGTTGCCTTCAGAGATTCTTCTCAATCTGCTTTGGCATTCCGCCGCGTTGCGAAAGTGCTCGATTTTCCTTGGCTCTACCGTTGAGATATGTAATAGTAAGGGAACATGTAACGTAGTCATGTTGGTGGATCGAGCGTCCTTTCATGAGCTTGAACCTGACGTTCTTTTAAAATATACATATTCATTTCAGGCTACATTGGAGAGTTTGAACTTGTGGATGACCACAGGGCAGGGAAAATTGTGGTGGAGCTGAACGGCAGGTTGAACAAGTGTGGTGTGATCAGTCCCCGTTACAATGTAGGAGTTGGCGAGCTTGAAGCGTGGACTGCTCGTCTTCTCCCTTCTCGTCAGGTGAGTGTTAGTTCCTCAGTGACTTAACGTGTCTCAATTGTTCACTGTCTCCATTAGAGGCATGTCACTTCGGCGTGTAGGGCTAATTATTTGGGTAGGGATGGATTGAAACTTTTAAGAAGTCAGAGAATCAGGCTGATTAAAGATATTCTGGGTGCTTCTGAATCGAGATTTAGCGAGCACTGTACTTGTTTAAATGAAATGATATTTCGAAAACCTGATCAGCGAAGTTGGTTCTGTTTTAGGAAGGCCTGCCCTCTGTTTTCTTTCGAGGAGGTGTTTTCAATGTTGTGAGGGATGTAGGCGAGTCATTTGTATGACTTAAGTTGACAGTAGTGTGGGGAATTTCGTAGTGAGTATTGCCTTTGACTCTTAGGGTATTTGGTTCCATTCTGCTGATGCTCGTTTCTTGTTTGTAGTTTGGATACATTGTTTTGACAACATCTGCTGGAATTATGGACCACGACGAGGCCAGGAGAAAGAACGTAGGAGGAAAGGTTCTTGGTTTCTTTTACTGATAGGCTGGGTCGGTTATCCCAAATTTCCTGCCCGTGAGTGAGTTTGGACGAAGTGTGCCGACTGCCTGTTCTAATCAGGGTGCTGCGAATGATGTAGCTTCGGATTCGCAGACAAGCATAATTTTGATAGTCATTTCGTCTCAAGCTTAATACACGCCTCTTTCAGTTTTTCGTTGAAAATGTGGACATGATGAGGGTTTGCTACTGCAGACAAAGTCAACGTCGTAGTGTGGAGAGTTTTTGCGAGATTGGCATTGTGGACGTGCGGTTGGATGACGGCCGCTTTAATGCGCTCACTGTCAATGTGCGTCGTGTTTCGTTCGTTGGACTGCTGCATTTGGATTTGGCGTTGAATACAATTCATTTTTAACTAAAAATTTAATTAAGTAGTTAAGGAAACAAATTGATTGAAAGGAGGCCGTCAGCTGTGCATGTTATTTCCAGTGGGATGGTTTACAATGTCAGGACTGTAATTAATTGGAGTAGCGTCGTGTGGTTACTGAAAACACAAAATAAGTAGGTTTCATCTAGTGCCACCATGTACAGTTCGGAAAAGATCAAACGTCCATTAAACTCGTTAAGCCTAACCAACTACTTGCTCATTCAAGTACGGCATGCACTTCCGTAACGTTGCGTTTCTGGTTAACACTTCCTGTAAACTTCTAGTCTTCAAAGATACAGCAGTATCCTTCTAAATCAACTTTATTTTTAAATTGAGGGAATTGGGTATTCACCTTAACGTACTCACTAACAAGAGTGACTACAGTGGTGCCTCACCCAACAAATCTGATTCAGTTCCCAATCCTTGTGCGCTTTCTACTTGATGTGTAAACCCAGTTGATTGTACGTATTCTTGCGCACACGTGTAGATTTTCAATGCGACTGCGGTTCTGTACTTGTGGAAAGAGAAGATCGTAGATTGCAGACTTGGGATCCTGAATGCCTGACGAAGGTCTCACTGTTTACCCTTACGTCCTGACGCGTTGGACCAGACAGCACCTCAATTGCGCAAGGTGTAATCCCAACAAGTGCATGGCTACGCACGGGACGAGTGCTGGACGTATGTCAGATATGAGAGTATAAGAGTAACACATCTACATTTGATTTTTGGGAAGAGCAGTGACCTTCGCTCATACAAGAAGCGACTTCAGCCGAAGCCCTGACGGCTACACAGTGCGTCGCTTCTACTTCTGTCTGGGGTCCGTCTTTTGCTTTGCTGTTATAGTTCATCACGCTATTGATTTTATCCTCCGGGGGCCCAAGTTCATTTGTTCCGTGCATGCCGGCGTCTCTTGCAAGCTTTTCGTCCTGGTGCCCCTCCTCAGCGATACAAAAGGAGCTTCCTTGTGAGTTACTTCACATGTGCAAGCCGGTGCTCAGCATCCAAATGTTGCAGACAAAGGTGACCAAAAGTATTTAGGTGAGCGAATGTGTCGATTTCTCTTCAATCGAAAGCTGGTTAAGGGATATTGTGGATATTAATGTAGCGAAGTTTATTTGATGTTGATACGTGTCGCAGAAGTTCTTTGAGCCGCTTTCTCAGTTAGCTCGTGGAGTGGTAGTCCGCAAGTACTTGAAACACCAAGCTTACTTTTAAGCGAGCTTTCTCTACATTTTTGAAGTTCCTTTGAGATCTCTGTAAAACAGGCTTTCTTAAAAAGCATCGCCTTATTCTGAAACACGATGTAAGTTGCTTAAAAACTGAAATCGTTTAACATTTCGAAAGCTAGTCCAGGTTCTGTGAGGAAATGAGACAGGTGATGTCATTGTGACTTGCAAATGCTCGGGAAGCTCTCGCGTGCCTCGTGTAGTCTTTGTTGATGAAAGTGTTACACTCTTGATCGCAATACCTGACTTGTAATCCTTTCCCTCACACACGTGCCGAAGCAAGGTTGTGTGCCACGTTTTCTTATCGTGCAAACCCTTAAATCAACTCAGAGCTTTAGATTGTAAGTCCTGTGAATAAGCTAATAATCAGATTTCTCGGGTCCGATGGTTACTTTACTTTCGTCAGTACTTAAGTAACTTAAAACCTGTCTCACATCTTCATGTCATCCTCATCATTGTGTTGAATCTACACCAAACCAATCCCTTCTAGTGTTTGTTGATAAGTATATGACCAGGTCGAGCACTTGCACAACAGAGTAATGCAGTGAATGTCTTCGATGCCCTAACTCATCTAGAATTCATGGCTGCAACCATAAGCTGATATCTATCATTGTGCCGCAGTGTCTAATCAATAGATGATTGTTTAGGCTGTTGGTTCATTAGATAACATTTGAAGCCTGTGGCCTTGATAATTCGCCAGCTTCTAGCTTCTAGCTTCCTGCCTTATCTTACAGCTATCAGTATCAACATACCTGGTAAACTTTCGATGCCTTCCTTCGGGGGTACTGTATTATGCTTACGCTCTCTTTGCTTTCCGGACGAAGACTCTAGGCATTTATTTGGGTATCAAGAGCATGAAAATATAATAGATGAGCTGTGGTTTGTTTTGGATTGCATGGTCCTTTTAGTTTCTTTTGTCTGAACCTACATGCTAGAGTTGCGACCTGTGACTCTGCTGTTGTGATGGGTCGTGTGCAGGCATTGAACTTGAAGAATCATATTTGTGTGGCAAAAATTAGAGAGCCAGGAAGGAATCTGCGGTATTGAGTTCGATTTGGGAGAGTTCTTTGGAAACAAGAGTGGAATGACAATACTGTCTGCAGTTTGACATGACGGCTCCTCCATCTTAAATCCTAAATCTCTGGACGGACTCGTTCAATACAGGGACCTCGGCAGTGGTTGGACGGTCAATGTTGCTTTCGCATGAACTAGTTTAGGCCTTTTTATGATCTTGCAACAAATGTACTGGAAGAAGATTCAGGTACCATAAAGTGTGATAATGAAGATAGGAAACAGCAATGGAAAGCAGTCACCTGGATACTCTGGCGATAACTTATCTGGTATGGGATATAGCAGAGTGAACGTCGTAGTAGGCATTGCCTGTGCATCTTCCTTTGTATATGTTCTTTCTCTCTTCGTCATGAGTGTGCGTCCTTGTCTACCGTCTCCGTGCGCTTCTTTCACTTTGGCAGCTGAAAACATTACAATTTCTGAATCAGCAGACATCGGTAATTCGTTAAAGGGTGTTTCTCTGATCCCACATCATCCTCTAGACTTGAAATCAGGACATTCTCTTCCAGTTGGAGAAGGTAACAGTGACGCCATTCGAGGCACTCAGCTGTCGAGGATAGTATTCGGCATAGCAGCAGCAACTGACATGTGGTGGGGTAGAAAAGAGTACCTAAAATTGTGGTGGAAACCATCAAAGATGAGAGGTTATGTGTTCCTGGACAAGAAGCCTTATGGTAATTATTGGACTTCGGAGTTTCCTCCCTACAAAATTTCAGAGAACACCAGCAGGTTCAGGTACACATACAAAAGAGGATGGAGGTCTGCCATTCGGATCTCACGCATAGTGTCGGAGATGTACAGGCTTGGTTTGCCGAACGTGGATTGGTTTGTGATGGGGGACGATGACACTCTGTTCGTTGCTGACAACCTGGTACAAGTACTATCGAAGTACGACCACACCAAGATGTATTACGTCGGAAGCAACTCTGAGAGTCATCTCCAAAATATCTTGTTCTCATATGACATGGCCTTCGGTGGAGGAGGATTTGCCATTAGTTATCCGCTTGCCAAAGCATTGGCCAAAATGCAGGATGATTGTCTTTCAAGGTATCCATCTTGCCCTTGCATGGCTTATGTTTGATTTTGTTCCGGAGTGGAGCTCTTCATGTACAATAAATTAAAATATTAGAGGACGCAGGTAGCTAGCTTTGGAACGGTCATGGGTAGGTTGTGCGTTGGTGGGTACACATAGTTGAGTTAATGCAGGAATGCGCACAATTATGGTAGTACGATACCCACCTGATTCCCGATAAAGCAACGCGGCACTAAGTTGTCTTTAACTGATCTTGAACTGATGATCCAACAGATACTCCTACCTGTTTGGAAGCGACGATCGGATGCATGCGTGCATGGCAGAGCTTGGTATTCCTCTTACAAAAGAGCCAGGATTTCACCAGGTCAGTCTCATTTCGGAACTCAACATGGTCACTGCACATTATGATGTTTTTCAGGACGGCTCAGATCATTATCGATCTTTGAAGTCTCAATTCTCGTTTCGCTCTACTTTCCAGCTTGACATCGTAGGAGACATTTCTGGTCTTCTAGCCGCACATCCTGTTGCACCCCTTGTGACTCTCCATCATCTTGAGAAGCTTCGCCCCATCTTTCCCAACACGGCTACCAAGAATTTCACGCGAGTGCGCGCATTAAGTCACTTACTCAAGGCTGCCGAGATTGAAGCAGCAAGTGTTGCCCAACAATCAATCTGCTACGACAGTCGTCGCAAATGGTCCTTTTCTGTGTCGTGGGGCTACGTTGTCCAGGTTCTCAAGGGTTTCATCACTCCTCGCGAACTTGAAGTTGCTCAGAGAACATTTCTGTCATGGCACAGAGAGAGTAGCAAAGTGGAATTTCCGTTCAATACCCGAGCAAATCCTGATGATATTTGCAAGCAACCAACTCGATTTTTTATGGATTCCGTGAAGGGTCCCGCTCATGATTCTCAAGACTTAATGGAGGCTGTGTTTGTGCGGGAATTCAACGGGCAGATGGACTGCGCTGAACAATTACAGCCACTTAGCGCTGTAAAAAGAATTCGGGTGATGAGGAAAAAGACTCATGAATTGTGGTATCAGGTACTGTAAGCTTGAACCATCATTACTTTCGTCCATTCAATTGATCATTTGCTGCATTACTACACAATGTTACCTTGATCCCACTCCCACTTCATCGTGTGTGTGTTAGAGTGAGGCTTGCAGCCAACGTTGAATGCTGTGTGCAGACGCCAAGGAGGTCATGCTGCAGGATCAGGAAATGGAAGAATGAGAACATCGACATTCATGTCGGTGAATGTGAGGAGGGGGAGAGTCTTGTAAGCAGCTTCTAATTGAACATCAACAATTAATTGGACTATTGGGATTAATGGCGGTCCAAATGCTACGGCCAACATGGCTTGGGAATGCTATTGCAAAATACTATCGTCATTATCCTAATCCCTCTCATCAGCGTTCCTTCTAAAACGCCAGCCAGTGTGGCAGTTCACAAGTGATAATGTACAGAATAGTAACCTCTTCGGACTGTTTACTCTTGGTACGGCTGTTGCAGATGGGGCAGTTTTGACAATCGGCACTCTACGGTTTTTGAAATAGATTTCGTTTTAAAAATTAGGATAGTGACGCAGTATAGGTTGTTGAAATTCTGAACTGTAAGATACTGTATATCTGCTTTGGTGCAAATGCTCCACTAGTAAATATATGAACCCTTCGGCGGTAAACCGGTTTTCCAAAATATTTTGGAATTGTAATTCCTAAACCCTAAACTAAAATATTTTGAAATTTTTTCAATCGAGGAATTTTAGTAATTACTATTGCGAAAGTTGTAACAAGAAGAACGACAACAGTTTTTGTCAAAATCAATGGGTCCGCAGAAATAAATAAATCAATTCAGATTGCTGTAAGAAAATTTGCAGTAAACCGCTTTACCGCCAGAGGGTTCATATACCGATCTACAAAGCTAAAAATGAAATAAACTTACGCTTAAGTAAAACATGAGCTGACGTGTCTTAAATCGCAACAATTTGGGAATGTAGTCGACATTGGTGAACCTGAAACTCCTCTCTTCAAATTCTTCCGTTACCACGTGCATGATAAGTAATATTTTTCACAAACTCAAAAAGAGAGGTGATGTGGAGCGGAAGCCTATGGCTAAACGAAACTTCTAAACAACATCTGCACTGCTTAAAATGTACAGGACGTATGCAGGAGCCATGGGGGTCCTCGCTACAATCTGTCAATACTGCGTGCTACTAAACTACACATCTATGCGCATTGTCTAATAGCACATGTTCTGGGCTCATTTCCAGCATCAGCATCCTCGGGAAAAATCGCCTTCACGTCTCTCAAACCTGGAACCTGTGCTGAGTTTTTTGATGCAACTTATGTCACAAAATTTACCCGACTATAGACAGATAAAATTTCTTGGCATTTGAAATCACAGCAGCGTAGCCCCATGAAATGATCAGGGAATCAAACCTGGTACTTGTCTGGGTAAAGTGTTCTTCAAGTCAAATTCCTCAAACCTCTGATGATGGAATCACAAGAGAGAGCGGCTCCGATGACTTGCTCAGTGGCACTCTTGTTCGTCGATGGGTGAGGGATACTGACAGTATTCTTCGTTTGTTATACAAAGGAAAAGGCGCTCGTAAGCAGACGCCATCTTCTTGGCAGTGAACATTTTGGACGCGTAAGCCAAGCACGTTTGGCCCTTCTCGCGCAACTTGTCTTTGCCGTCTTTGATCACCTTCTCGAGCGCTACGACGAGCGATTGAACATTGGGGGAGAATGTATAGCCAATTTTTTTATCTGTAATAACACTCCATACGATACTTGAGAAGTGGGTGGCCAGAAGGGGTTTACCACACTGCATAGCTTCCAAAAGGGTGATATCTAAACCTTGTGCACGTAGGGTCGGGTTCACGAATATGTCCACCGCGTTGTAAAACTCTGAAAGCTGCGAGGGAATTAGAGGCCCAATGGTTTTCACATTCGGGCCAAGCTCTTCATAACGTGAACCCCACGGGCCGGATCCCGCCACCAGCAGATACACATCCTTGTGCGTCTTCAGAATTTCAGAGAATGCCTCGAATAGGATAGGATGGCCTTTGTCACGCACTAATCGTCCAGCTGCTCCAAGCACCAGACTCGCATTCGACGGCACCCCGTACCTAAAACAATTTCATTTCGTTCAGATGAAATTGTAGGAAAAGAGACTTCACGATCGAGAATTTTGATATTTTATTACTGGCTAACTGACCGATAGCTGTTCAGGTTTGTAAACCTAGGATACCGAATACGAGATTGTTGACCGATATACTGGAAAAAAGACTGCAAGTTTGGAACGAACAGGGTCAAGATGGTTAGACAGTAAAATTTTAACTATCAATTTTATGCTCGAATCCAAAAACAATTGACGTGGTTTTAAAGCAAGAGAGAGCAGTCCACACTAATACACAGATGATCCCTAAAGCTTCATGGAAGAGGAGAAAACTAGCATACTTAGCCCTGAAAGCAGCACCCGCAGAGGGATTAGGTCGAAAATCCTGCTCGTTGACCCCGTTGAGGATAATGTGCACGTTCTCCAGAGGGATCTCATATATGGTGCGCAGCACATCCCCAACGTAGTCACTGGTCGCAACGTGGTGCCGGTAGCTAGGGAAGAAGCGAACCTCGTCGGCGACACGCACCAAGCGCGAGCTCATTGTCTGCATTAAACCTTCGGTGCGGTTCTCATCAGGTTTGCGAATCAAGTCCTCCACAATATCACTGTGAATGGTCTCGAATTGAATCCCATGCCACGACGCGGCAAGCTTCTCAATCGGAAGCGCCTTCCAGTGAGGCAACGCGACACTCTCTGAGTGCACAATGTCAAACGGGTGGGTGGCATTTATTTCACTAAATTTCTCCCACGCGGGAACAAAGTCGAAGCCGCCTGCTTCATTTGGCTTCATGAAATGAATGTGTGTGTTTGAGTGTTGACGCTCCTCCTCCGCCTCCACTTCTTCACCACTTGTCCCCGCACCCGGCTGCCTCATCGTAAATACATGCACCACGTGACCTCGATCCGCCAACGCGCGATGCAGCGTCATGGCGTGACGCTCCAATCCACCGGGGGTCCCTCCAATGGGCCATTTCTTCACAAACACTGCGATGCGAATTGTCACAGGCGGCTTCGATCCATAACATAATCGATTCCACGCCATCGACAAATCTCGAACATCACCGGACCACATTGCCGGATCCACCATATCAACGGCAGTAGCCGCAGGCTTCACGGATGAAGCCACAAGTCGAACACCCGAATCCCACACCAGCAACGGTGACCTGCACGATGCGGACCCCATCAACGCCATGACATAGCACAGCAACGCGCCACCCAAAATCACGGCCCACACAAACCTCCTTGACACCAGCATGAAACCCTCGTTGTCCTTCAGAAGACCCCGCCATCTCTGGTTCTCTCGCATTCTGAACTGAGAGAATGCGAGCGTCAGGCGGAGCGGAAACGTAAGCGGGTCGCGGAGCGAACGAGGCCTTCTGGATTGAGCATGGGCACGCGTACATACAACAGATAATCAATCAGGCCGCCCCGTCCTCAGAGGCCATTCCCATGACAGGGAACAACACTACAATGCCGCAACGGAATGTCCAAAGGATAAGCGCATTCATATCAGAGCAGGGCAGCCACTACCTAAAGGGCATTCACAGAGCTTCGCCCCTCAGCACACAAACGCCCACCTTTGCAATAAAGAGATAAAAGACAAGGTTAGTTATAATATAAAAATCATATGGACATAAAGACAATGTCAATTAAAACATAAAAGACAACTGGACATAAATTCAAAGAGATCAAAGAAATTTTTTCATACGCCAAAATCATCGAAAGCGAATGTGGGCCTTTCACAATATACTCCAAATACAATGAAGACCTTTTAGGGGACTGCTAGGTGGACACAACTCTTTTTACTACCTGGACACCTCTATGCAGTTTTTTTTAATTTTTTAATTTTTTAATAAAAAAATGTTGTTGTATTTTCGATAATTTGTGCAAGTTGTCTGCATAATTTAATAGTGTATTTTCTTTGACATAAGATATATGTCTAAATTTCAGTATGAGATATTAGACAATCATGCGCACAAACAAAACATCAATTTGTTTTGTTTTGTTTTCTTTTTTTTTTTCATTTTTTTTATTAATATTAAAATATCTCAAAGGTTTTTAATATTAAATTTTAACTACTTCTATAACTTTAATGTCAAATTTTACAAAGACTTATTCATATAAGCACATGCATGATTATTTAAGTTAGACAAAAAATAATGATTGTATATCAAAAACAAAAAAATTAAGTTGTATATCTATTAATATAATTATAATTTTAGCATAATAAAAAATCCATAATATATATATATATATATATATATATATATCTTATCATGATTATATATAAAGAATTAAAAGAAAAATTTAATAATAAACTATTAATGTTTGTAATTAGAATTGACTAGCATCAATCAACATACAAAAAAGAGATTTGATCAGCAAATTTATTGCAACCATGAAAATGACCACATCAAGAATCACAAACAAGACTCTTTAAATTAGGGATTTTTCCAATAAAACCCTAATTTTCCTAGAATAAACTTGGTGAGATGCCCTAAAATAAGGCCCCAATGATTTTCCTTTGTAGAGTTGGAAGAAGTACCACATAATGCAATTCATGGGAAAAAATACCGATCTATAGTCACAACAATTATATTAGGGTATACACGTCAAATTCACTATAGTGAAGGAGTTACAAATCCCTTGAAAATCCTCTATGAAAATGAAGTTTAGCCTTGCGCCAAATCCAAAAAATGAAAATACCAACTAAGTTCTATTAGTGTGATGCTTGTTCTATGAAAAACTTGATTGCAAAGAGGTCAATGTTATAAGATGTAATCGGAAGCAAATGATAAATATGATAGCATTTTCAATTTTTTTCTATATAGACAACATCACAATACATATGAAATCATAGCATGCCAAAGCATGGCTAGAGTACAATGCCTTTCCAAATGTCTTAAAGAAGCAGTTCTTTGACTAGGTGAATTTCCAAAATACCATTGCAGTTTATTTCAAGATCAATAAAGTTATACATTTATAATCATTTGAGACATTATAGACATGGTTATTAGTAACATGGTATTCAATGCAAATGATGAGAAATTTGCACCAACTTATGAATAGGCATTGTCAATTTTTAAGTTGTCTAAAGATGCAAATAATGACTAAATTAATCTCAATGGAGAGCAAAATTTGAATTGCAAAGCATATAAAGTAGAGATCAATTCTTTGCAATTATTTTGTCTAGTGATTGACTTTGTCTCTTATGGAGCCTTGTTTCAAATGACAGCAGGTTTTGTGGATGTCACAAAGACTATGTTACACATGAACTACTTTAGTAGATGTAATGACGAGAGTGCAGCTTTGTTTATGAGAGTGGTTTGAGTTGTGAGCTTATAGAAAATCATTGGACTCTTCTACATACAAAAGGTATTTTTTTCTTGCTCTTGACATTGGCTCAATGTAAGGCATCTCTTACTTTTACTTTTGAGTTTGATTTGAGTATCAATTGAAGTTATACAACCTCTATTTTTTTGTTACTTTATTTTTTGATTGCAAGACAATTAAAATAATCTTTGTTCTAAGTGCAAACTTTTGGATGTCTTTACTCCAAAATAGAAGATACAATTAGTTGGAATTACTATGGATGATAAATGGAAGATAATTAAGCAAATTTTTGGTACTATGACGAGGATGGTCAAGACCACTTATAATGAGATTGTACAAGTGTCGTGTGCTTTGCATCAACTTGACCTTGTGGTCTAAGTCAAGTACATTAAGTTGTATGACAACTAATTCATCAACATCTTGACAAGCTTTGTTACTTATCTTTGCCGACAATATAATCTCATCAAAACGATGGATTACATATGTCATAGATAAAATATTTATTCCAATAATTATTTCTATAATTAGATAGAAGTAAATGAAATTAGATTAATTTTATAATATCTTTTAGAATAGCTTCTTAAAAGCTTTATAGACATGGCTTTGACTTTACATGTATTTGTAGTTGATTAGTAGATTAAAAATTTGGTCAACAAATTAGCCACATATCATACATTATAGTGTTATGGTTTGATTATTATTTAAAAATAATACATATATATAAATTATATATTATTTTTACCTTGACTTTGAGCACCTATATTTAATAAATAATTTACTATACAATATATTTGAAACTACCTTTATTGGACATTGATGACTCTTAAAATCTTATATTATTTTTTTTATTTGATGTTTAAAGCACTTACTATCTAAGACTTATTAGAAAAAATATTAGAGAAGGATTTTAGTATAAAAAAGAATAGTTAGGCCAATCATATGGATGAATGGAGATAGATGATAAAAATCTCTATTCCTATTGGCCAAAAGGCATGCCTAATGGGTTACTTGGCCAAAAGAAATGCCTAATAGCTAAAATATTTTACAAATGTGTATTATTATGTTATAAATCTATATATTAAATTTTGTAGCATTTGAATTTTGATTTTTGGAGATATAAAGAAAAAATTACTCAAGTGTTTATAAATTGGGATTTAGAGCACCTATTAGGATTTCTAAGATATAAGATGATTTGTAGTAAATTTATAGTTAATTTTTTATGTAGTAAAATTAAAAAATAAATAATATATTATCTTAAAATTTGAAAAAAAATCGAATAGTTGGATCAAGATATATAAAATTCTATATTTGAAAATAAACTCATCTATAGAAAAAAAATATTTTGAAAGGATTTTGCTAGAATTGAAATATTTTATGCAAAGCAAAGGGATTTTTAGGAGCTAAGACTTTATATATATATATATATATATATATATATATATATTAAAGATAGAGATATAGAGCTATGATGAAATTATGATATAAAGATGAATTTTTGAAAAGAGATTATGGATTTTTTTTGAAATTATTAAAAATCTAACTTTTTGAAAAATGATTAGTTATGATTTGGTATAGCAAAAGGTACTAGAAAATTTCTAAATGCTTTAAAAATATTTATGTTTAAAACTTCTTAAATATAAAAGATTTTTATTTATAGAATATCTTTTGATATTGTTACATTTATTTATCTTCTATATTAAAAATAAATCACTTACATCCTATATCTTTAGTATCTTCAATCAAATCTTCTTCTTCTTTATATCTAACTCGGGATAGAATATTTCCTACAAGATTATCCTTGCTTGCTATATGCCTAAATTCAAGATTGAAAGATTTAATATATGCAATCCATCTTAGCGTAGCAATATCAAGGATGTTACGGTTGATAATCATTCCCAATAGTAGCAAACGATTTATTTCCACTATCATTGGTGCTTCAATTAAATAATCTCTTTCATTTTTCATAGCTGTAACTATTCTCCATAGCTCTCGTTTTACTAGTGGATAGTTTCTTTATCGTTCACTTAATACTTTAGCTCCAAATCTAATAGCAAACCTAATACCTTCTTCATCGCTTTGTCCTAAAGTCCAATCAACAGCTATTGGATTAAAGTCAATTGTAAGTATCATCAATTTGCCATCCTCATAACTTATCCTTTGCAATACAAGTGGAGAAGGTAATAATTATTTTAGCTTTTGAATTGTTTCTATGTGCTTCTTTTTCAATTTAAATCTCTTCTCTTTTTGTAGCAAACTACAAAGAAGATCAGCCACATGTACATAATGAAGAATCCATACCCAATAAAATATATAAGCTCCTAAAGTCATCTATACCTCTGTTTGTGAGCTACTAATATCCTTCATCCGTTGTATGGCATCCACCTTATTAGAAACAAATTTGCGACCAAACCATCTACACAAATGCTCTACAATAACAACTTCTCAAACTCCAAAGGTAGATTTAGCTCCTAATAGTGTCAAATGAACCTTCTCAAGTCAAGATAAAATTTTATCACAATCTGAAATATGATTGGATACAAATTTACGGCACCCTCTCTGATCCATTGTTTCATTTTTTTCTTCTTCCACACACTCTTTTATTAGAATATCATCCAAGAAAGACATAGTCTTTTTTAGAATGAAATCACGAAGAACCTTATTCATCCCATTCATCATGTAAGCTACCGAGTTTGTTGCTTCTTGTGGCAATGTACACATCTTAATCAACCCTAAAGGTGTCCTCATAGTAGTGATATCTTTGCTTCCTTCAAATAGTTGAAATTGATCATATCCAAAATAGAGATCTCCAATAGATTAAATAGCTATATCGGCAAATGCCTCAGCAAATTCTCCAACAATTGGTCCAACTCCACTATTTCTAATGGTGACTTGATTCACTAGCTGCATATCTTGAATGAACCATTGTGTTCCATTTTTCTTTGGTACTATAAACCAATGACTAGAATATGGTGCAAATGATGGTTCTAGGATCTTTATTTGCATCTTTTTTTTCAAAAGCTCTATATGTTTAGGTAGATGCACTTTAGGTACCAAAATTGATCTTAAATTCCAAAGAACATGTAGAACTAAAAATATAATCATTCGTGCTACAACACTTGGATCAACACATATAATTTTAGAAGGTTCAAAAGCAAAAGCCTTTTCATGCATACTTAACTTATTTCTAAATTCTATTTCTT